ATCTAAAATTGTCGAGATGATTCTCACGATGCCCCAAAGGATCAACGAACTCCACGAAGCAAAAGGAAGATCTACTAGATATTAATTAAATTATAAATATATCAATTCATGTGAATATAACTGAAAATTTTCATTTTTTCTGAGAAGGTGGTGTTTATTTGCTTGTGACCACGCTGTGTGTATATATATGTATGCGTGTTAAAGATTTTGAAAAGAGAATCTGTGACGTAGAGGCCTAATGCATTATTTGAAAAATAAAATAAATATTTTTTTAATTTGTAACATGTATATACAATCATTAAACTAGGGCTAGGAGAATGCTTTTGAATATGTAAACAGAAGAGGCGTTTTCTTAACTCCAAGATTAGTAAAATGTTGCAATAAATTTTAAATACACCACTAAATAACGTCAGTAGTTTAACAATAACTTTATTCTTAGCACGATTTGTACAAGTTAGGTTTGTTACCTGTTTGAGAAATGTAACACATCATAATTTTCGTAATTTGCGAGAAACAACAATTTGGTACAATAAAATCTATCGACAAGTAATGCAGATATTGTAGAGTATTAAAGCAGCAAAAAACACACTTATGAACTATAAATATACAGAATCTTAATAAGTGTACCTTGGTTATTTCTTAAGTCTTCATATCGCCAGGAATTCATTTATAATTTTACTTATTACTAGGTGTAATATTCTTTAAAAAAAAAAACGGTTACTATATTTCTTCGTCAAATTTGACTAAATAAACGACCTAATTTCTCAGAGATGAGGTTCGTTTGTTGCTCATTATTTCATCATTTTGATTTCTTCAGAAGCACCGTGCAACGCACACAATTCTGAAATAAACATTTATTGTTGACTTCTATAACATAATAGCTGCTAAAACATCTCAGTCAGCAAATTACGAAGTATTTCATCTGGATTTACCAGTGACTTTAAACACAAATAAAGATTACTGAATTTGTCATGGGGTAAACTAATCAACTTTCATATTTCTGGACCAACTTAGGTGAGTATATAACTTATGGAACGATTCTTTCGTTGTTTGTAACGTTATTTTCAAAGAAAATAAATAATTCTATATTTTTGTCTTCTATGTACGATTTCATTAAGAAAGGCAAATTGTTGATTTAAAGACCTAAAAAGGAGTTTCTACATTTTTCTACAATGATATTATTTAACAATTTTTTTCTTTTGATACTTAAAGCAATCGATAATGAAATAACATAGTTATACGGAAAGAATTTACGAAAAAAAGGCATATTATGAGAATGAACTGCAAAGACAGTTATTATAATTGTACATCCATTTCAGGTTAGCAGTTACAACATTAAGAGAAATGCATTGCATTAACTTGTAGTTGTATATAGACCATTGTCTATGTTATTATGTGGTAATGATATTCTCATGCAAACAACAACTGAATTGTAATTGTAACATTTTGGTCCACATATTTTTTTTCACATTGTTAATGCTGTATTATAACTAATGGGGAAAAAAAAGCAACTTAAATAGTGCTTTTGTAAAATTACCAATAGAAGTTTACACTGAGTTAAAATTCATATTTTGTTTTACATTTTCACACCTTATTTTACATTAAATCTTTTTTTTTTTCCTTGCTTCACAGTTTTCATTTTCACAAATAATTAAAAAAGAAATCCAAAAATGTATGTAAATATCACTAAATATTTCTTAAAACTTCAGTGGTTCCCATTGTAATCAGAATCTCAAAGTAATAATACAAATTTATTAAAAACATTTACATGGTTAAATTCAAAGCACACCAACTGAATTTGATTAATCAGAAAAAAAACCCACAAACAATAAACAAATGCTTGAAGAAAAAAATTGTTTAAAATATGTGAAAGTCAACCTGAAGCAAATGAAATTTCGAATGTTTATAAACAATGCATAAAATACTACTAAATAATAAATTATATATATCTTATTAGTTCCTTTAAATAGAATCCTTTTTATTGTTACTGGTTTCAACCTAAAATAATGTTACCTAATAACACGGTTCTAAAGGAGAAACGTTTTTCAAAATCACAAAGTAAAAAGGTTTATTTTATCAGGCTACTAGACAACAGTTTACCCAGTTCAATGAGAAAAAAACATGCATTCAATTATGGTCTTATACCAGTAGCATAGCCAGCTAGACAAAGTGGGAGGGGTGTCTTTTTCCTAAAACATGTACCTTCTAAAAAGTCAGAAAACATTTTAACATACGTAGAAAATTAGGGTTGTCCTTCGAACCTTCTATTCCCCTGGCTGTGTTTCCACATGCAAATGAAGGCAAACATTTGTCCTGCAATATATCTTTTGAACTTAACAAAAATAATCTTGTCTCTAATTGGAGAAGAGAAAAACATTCAACCTGCAGGTTACAAAACCACTCCTACGTGTCAGAGAACCAACTAATTAACTTTACACGACCTAATCCTAAGTAGTATTGCTACTACCAGCACCAAATAACAATATTCATAATGTCACCTAATATAATACAGATAAGTAAAGAACAGGATTCAATTTTTGTCAACATAATATTTAAACCATGTCCAAGCACATCAGATCACCTGGAATATCATGGAATATCCGATCACATTAACCCCCCCCCCCCAATAGAAGCTTCATTGCAGTTGCCTTGATATCAAAACTTCTTTTAAATGAAAAATTGACCATTGTAACATGATATTTGAAAATCAAACATTCATTTACTATCTTCTTGGCAATAACAAATTTGCAAATGTCAATGTAAAGATATTTTACAAAACATGTCAATTATAGTTTTTAAAGAATTTTGCAAAATTGTTTGGTTTTTGTATTTTCAATTGGAAGAATACTCTATGTAACACATGGGTTAAATTGTCAAGTCGGAGACCCCAAAGGTTCAGGCATAACCATTCCTAACTTATAACTTCTAACCAGAGGGAGGACAGTTAGTCAGTAGTTCCCACTGCTTATGTGACTATTCTTAACCAAATAAAGTTATAATGTCCTCACAGCTGAAAGTGCAAAGCATGTTCAGTAGTATCATGTCTTGAACCTTGGACCTTTCAATCTGCAGCCAAAAACATTAACCATTATGTTAAATAACGTTTTTTTTTCCAGGCTTGTAGTTTTACCAACTTAAGTTGACATTGAAAAATGCTTTACCAGAGGCTCAGATGACAAAAGAGAATCCTTTATGAGTAAGTACATAGGTGTACAAGGTGGGGTATTGAAGGAGTGGCAGCTCCCCCATAGCTTGAAATACAGATGGCCATTCAGACAAATTTTCAGTTTTCCCTAGAAAAAAATTCGAGGGCAGGAAATACGATGATTTGGGCAATTTTTACCTTCAATCGGGAAAAACTGGTAGCAGAAATTTTAACAAAAGGGCAAAAATTGTACAGCCCCCCTCTGAAAAATCCCCTGTATGCCTTTGAGTAAGTACAATATGGGATTAAGCCAGATTCAATTAACAATAAAATAAAAAGGATATATAAAGTAAAAGAAGTATTATTGAAATGATTAAAAAAAATTGTTTAAGAAATTAAGTTTTGTACAGTATCATCATCAATTACATGTTGATAGTAGATATACGAAAGAAAACTTTTTGACAGGTTACATCACATTTTATACCATTTTTCACTAAACTTAAGCACCAGCCAGTTTTGAAGACTATATTATATGTACATGTTTAGATATTCTGGTACATACTTAAATGCAGTTTAAGAGTCAGTTAATAACAACAACAATAAAACATTTCATACCTTTACATGTATTTTTCTTTTTAATTTCCAGAAAAAAATGCAATAATAAAAACATTCTACTAATCTTAATGGGCATCAGTTGATTATTTAACCAAGTTATCATTTCAAAGTTAACAGAAAATGGCACATTCTTTGTTTAATTATCACTTTTACACAACCCATTTTACAATTAAACAGTCAAGCAATGAGAGATTTTCACAAAAGAAAAGAATTAATATCTTATTTTGTACATAACTAATATAACTAATTGTTTTTCTTTATAGACTTACAACAATGAAACACTGAATGTGCATTACACAAACATGGTGTTCTAACACAATATATATGTATTACTGTATAATAAATGTACAATCTATTCATAGAGTACAAGTAACTTTTAAAACAGCTAAATATCTTAACGTGTAACAAAAAAAACTATCGGTAATTGTTAAAAATACATCTTCAATACAACTGGCCTGAAATCAATCTTATATATTTGAAGCGGCTTCTTCTACAATGTACAGTAATCAAATATATATTTTGGGTGTTGTCCAACACACACAACACATAAACGTCACCAAATATTATAAACACTTCAAACATAATATAATGTACGAAAACCATAAATCACTGGAGAATCTGAAATGTATGCAGCTAATATAAGGCATTGTCAAGAGAAAGGAAAAGAATATTAACGATTACAAGAAAGATGTTTAAATACCAACAGTTGTAATTTGCAAACTTAAAAATCCTTAAGAACAAACTACACATTAGCTCATTTTCTTTGTACAAAAACAGACTATACAAATCTCAGAATGATAAAAGGCTTATGTGACAGGTCCAATAACTGGGTCTTGTCCAGTTTATGAGGCACGTATCACAAAAACTCACCCTTTTTGGTTTGAAAAACTACAAACTACAGAAGGTCCTTATAATTGGCCCAATATATCTTTGCATTTGTTTAATAGTAAGGAGGACCTTTTAAAAGTTTTCTGTAAACAACCTGAAATGTTTATACATGCATGAACACATGAATTCTGTGTTTTTTGTTGTTGTTTTTTTTTAAACGAATAATGAAGGCCCATGACTAGTTTGGAATTATACATTTAAAATAGATGAGAAATGAGACCCTCTTTCTGAAACTTGCCTCAATAAACAAGAACAAAAAGGGACAATATGGAATGGAATAGTTAGATGGTCCACAATATGGAGTTAGACTTTTGTTTCAGGACCTTCTGTTCCATGTGTGAAAGAATCTCTGAGACGTGCGAGTTGAAGAGCACATATATGGCCAAATGATTTATTGTACCATTCTGGTGATCTTCCCCTGGAAAGATAAAAAAAAGAATTTTACTCTACCAAGTAACTCAAAGTAAAAACTTATGAAGTCTATTATAGATTAAAAACTAATATATAATGATCTCTCTCATATTCAATCTTTGTTTTAAATTTTTAATATACAGAAAAATTAACAAAATTCACTCAAATATGGTAGTTTTTATGGTACTATTCTTCATACACTACGCTTTATTCTACAAAACTAAATTAGAATGACCATACTTGTAAATGTTATATTTTTATAGAGGGTTTAACTAGTAAATGAGTACATGTATCCAGTTGTTATGATCGATGCAACTCTATTACCAATAAAATTCATAATCGTGAACAATTTAATCTGCCTAGCAAAAACTGTGCATACAGAGAAATATGTTTTTTTTAGAATTTCATAGACATTGTTGAGGATCAATTCTTGAAAACTGCTAAATGGCATGTGTACTTTTGAAATATTGAACACCAAGATGAATGGTGATAAGAATTCTTATCTAATTAGTATTTTACATCCGTATTTCAAAAGACCAAAATGACTGTTTTTTATGAAAATTTGCCTAAACTCATTTGCTTGTGTCTATTTCTTAACTGTCATTAGTTCCAAAGATTTCAGTCACAATTGAGTAGAGCCATCATACTACATTATTCTTAATGATTTGTTTTGAATTTCGTGCAAAGCTACACGAGGGCTATCTGCACTAGCCGTCCCTAACTTAGCAGTGTAGGACTAGAGGGAAGGCAGCTAGTCATCACCACCTACCGCCAACTCTTGGGCTACTCTTTTACCAACGAATAGTGGGATTGATCATCACATTATAATGCCCCCAAGGCTGAAAGGACAATTATGTTTGGTGGGATGGGGATTCGAACCCGTGACCCTCAGATTACGAGTCGAGCGCCCTAACCACCTGGTCATGCCAGGCCATTCTTAATGATGAAATCACTTTTTTTTTTTATATAATTTTCATTTATAATAATACCACTTCACTGGTAAAGTGTCTCAATGGAATGGGATTCCAAGATTTGAAGTTACTGGATTTTAATACTTGTTTTCATTTTAAATCATTTAACACCATTTTTTTCTGGCAACACATTTTTTCTATGATTAATCTTTTCAATATACTATATTGACATATTCTGGCTGTAAATCTACAGATTTATTTAAAATTTTATATTAAAAATTCAATAGATTAATACAAATCTCACCGAGTATCAACTCGACAAATACGAGTCACACGAGACTTGCCGGCCCCACAAGGTTCAATCAAGAAATGTGAGGCAAGCACAACTCCTCGTACACTCCCTTGTAAACAAGGAGCATCAGAATGATCAATGGACATTTCCACCAGTGTACAAGAACCTTTGGGAACATCTGTTACCCAGGACCTAAATAAAAAATCATTCACATTATCTAAATACATTTTCTATTTTGAATTCAAAGAAATAATTTTGTAAGTACTATCAAGTTTATTATGTAAAAGTAGAAATATCTACTTTTAAAAGATAAGAGTGAGTCACTGTGTGAGTTGTGAGAAAGTCCTATATCTTTGTTATTAAAATTTTAATACAAAAGAGTAGAAAATATTTTCTTATAAATACATTACCTTAATTTCAAATGAAAAATCTTTAATAGATATTCATAATATTACAGAAAATCTTGCCATCAGAAAAAGAAATATTATGATATTGTAATTTTACTATAAAAATAATCAAAAACGGGACATGAATATTTGATCAAACATACATGATGAGTACACTGTATTAAAATGATTTTAGATACTCGCACTACATCCAGTCATGCACTACCTGATGATTGTGCATCTTGACAATAGCCCTGCAGTTTAATTTTTATTGCAAAATGTTCTATTGTAAGGCTGTTATGTCCAAAACACACCTCTCCTCCCTTCTTATTTTCCATAATCCACTTAGTGTACAATGATGATAGTTCCCAGTGCCCATTTCAACAGTATAATCCCACAGTTGCTGCATATAATGACTTGGCCAGTATGTCTTCATATGGCATATCATAAATACCCTTTTCATTCTCCAGCTGCTTGAGATATGCAACAACTGAATGGATACGTTGTAGAAACAACTTGTGTTGCTTTTATAAATGGAGATTCTTCTTGATTATGTCAATTGACTAATGTTGCCTGGGACACATGGACGATTTTTACTAGTAACCTTTGTGTTCAAGAAATTCCACCCGTTAAAAAATGATGCACTTTGTTTACCATGTCTGGAGTATAACTTGTTCTCTTTCTGGATGGACCTAATGCCCCAAGTTAATCCATAATCTTAGTTTTGATACAATGCAGTCCACCACAACTTTATACTGACTGTGGTCATCACATGGCTTGCTGATTTACATATTCAAAATCGCTGTAATATAACTCAACCCTCTGTATGCATTTGCGCATGTGTGTGTGTACATATGGATATAAATCTGCTTTGCATTAGTTTTACATTTGTTTGCTTTTAATATTCTTTCTATATTTTACTGAAAAGCCTCCAATGTTTTTTTAATGTTACACAGTACCTGATATTATAATTTTTTCTTTTTGAATACACTCCTTTTTTTTCAATGGTCTGAGCTTATTATTGTGTATTTGATGAACAAATATTTATAATGTTTAATAACATTCAATTAGTTAATAAAAACAATTAAAATAAATCATATACAAACTACATTCTTCTATGAATAACTATTAATCTCATAATAGCTAAAAATTAATCACTTCGTTGATTTTTTGAAATTTTACAAAAAATAATTTTTAACAGAGTAAGAAAGGTCAAGTATGAATACTGATGTTTTACAAACTTTAGTATCAAAATGAAATGCTATATTATTAGCTCTGGAAATTTGAAAATTAACAAATATCAAATCCTTGTTACACTAACCTGAGAACACAATAATCTCTAGGAGGATGAGGACTGATTGAATTGCAGACGTACTGAAATATTTCAGACTGGTTGTCTAGTCTAGAAACAATTCTCCATTTTGCTAAGGAGTCATCCCACACATTTCTGTGTTTAAACAACAAAACATAATCAATATACATATATAAATGCATAAAACAAAAAACAATGACAAAAAATAACTATCTATGTGGTTTACTACTACAATTTTATGTACAAAAACTAACCGAAACATAAAAAAACAATTTATTAAATACTTCTTAAGAGTAGATTTCTAGAGTCAGGTTTTCTGTTATGTTTGAAATTTATGCAAGTTGCTCCTACCTGTCTCTCATTAACCTATTCAATAACTCCACTGGAGGAGCTTCCACTTCAACTGACAGTTTCCATAGCCTCAATGGATGACCATCATCCACTTTTTTATATGAAACTTCCACGGAATCATTGTGAGGAAGCACAATCCAGCCCTTGAACTTATCACGTGCTTCCTGTTAAATCAGAACAAGTTTTTAAAGATTTTATTTCATCAAGAAACAGTTATATTAATAACGAATAAAATCATGGAGTTACAGTCAAAAATTATATTTTATGTTAACTTGAATAAAATCATGGAGTTACAGTCAAAATTATATTTTATGTTAACTTGATTAAAATCATGGAGTTACAGTCAAAATTATAT